CACTCACCTCAGCCTCCCAAAGCGCTGGGATTACAGGCTGAGCCACCGAGCCCGGCTTATATGTACATATTTACATTTAAATTTTAAGGGGCAGTATGTAAGTACAACTTACATATTAATAATTGTCCTTCTCAGGGCAAATATGAGTCAGCTAATTAAAGGTTGAGGGCTTGTTGACATTTGTGCTTCTGGTTGGTTCCTTCTCTGCTAGTCTTTTGCTGAGATCAGTGGCTCCCTTGCAGGAGACAGGGGCTTAGGTGCTGGGAGGAAGAGGAGCTGTGTCTTGAGTGTCTGCTCTGCCCTTTCCTTGCCTTTAATCCTTGCAACAGTCATGTGAGATAGGTACGTTTATTAGCCACCATTTATCTGTGAGGTGACTGTGACCTAAGGGGGTTGTTTCACCCTCCCAAGTATGACTGGGGAAACTTTGCCGGACTGACGCCTGAAACTTTTACCATAACCACCATCCTCAACTCCACACTGGAAAAAGGAACACTCAAGGAAAGTTTTCAGTAGGAAAACTCACGAATATGGAAACAATTTTGCTGTGAGGCATACACACTCCGAGGGGCATTTATCTACCCAGACTATCCTCTTTTCATTTGAAATAAATGGCAATGGGATTAATGAAATCTTAGGTAATTCAGCCCCCATAGCAAGAGGAAGAGGGCTTTGAGCACAGTGTGGGGGCCACATGTGAGTCACAAGAGCTGCCCTAGTCTGGATCAGGGACGCTCTTCCCAGTGTGACAAGCTGAAAGTCATCCAAGGAGCCCCGTGCTCAGGCGGTGGTTGGGGTCATTCTCCATGCATCCTCTGGGAAGCTTGTTTTCCTGGACCTCGGAAGCAAATCACACAGAGAGGCAATATGTGAGAGTCCCCCAGCTTCCCCTCCTCTGGGGCCCTCCAGTGTTTTGTTTTGTTGCTGGGTGGAATCCCTGCAGAGAACCAAAGTATAAATCTTGTGGTTAGCGCGGAGTGTCTTCAGTAGGAAGCAGGGACAGCAGCTGGACCGTCCGCCTTTGTCAGCATGCATGATGGCTCCTCAGCTTTGACAAAGAGAAGTGGTTTAGGGCTCTTTAAAAAAAAAAGAAAAGGAAACAACTATGATTATACTTTTCCAAGCTACTAATATGTGTATGATAAGGTCAGGGATTTAAAAGGGAAAAAAAAAATCCTCTAATAACAGATTCTTCCAGGCTCAGGTCCTGGACAGAGCGGGCATTGTGTGGGTGAACTAGAGGAAGAAATCAGAAACAACTTTGGGCAGCAGAATCACTTTTCTTTGGCCCAGATTGGTATTATTTCTGCTGGGTAAGTTGTGAGATCAGGGCCTCAACTTCTTCCATGTTACCATTCAACTCATTCCTCTTTCTCGCATTTACCATGGAAAAGTGTTGATTTTGAGGTCCTCGTGTACCTTTCCCAATTTGACAGCCCTCTGGGCATGTGACGGCGGCCCCTGTGATCCTTCTCCTGCTATAATGGACACTGCATAGAAACCTGGTCAAGCGGAGGTTTCCAGGGCTCCTGGTTTTCATTTAGGGTTATTAGCACCGAGCAGACTTATCTTCCTGGCTTTATAGCATAATGGTCTGCAGATGTCTGTGGGATAACTTAAGCCTGCATCACCACCCCCAGACGGACCACCCCTTCACTCTCCCCCTCATCCCAGCCACAGCATACCTTAGAAATGAGGACCCAGGGCAGGCTGCTAGAATTCTGGAGTTCTTGGACTTGAGAGCTGAGACGGTCTGCTTCAAAACGTGGCTTTGAAGAAATACTCAGACACACATACGTGTTTGTTTAGATAGAGCCATATGGGATGTGGGGGGCTTCGCCTGTTAGCAAGAAACATTTCTTCAGTGTTTCCTATAGTGTTCTGAGTTGTACTTTGATGCCTGCATATTTCCTGTTGGATGGCTTAACTGAAGATGGCAAGCAGCCCTCTCTGATCATTTCTGGGAGGGTTATTTGCTTTTATCAGCTGTTGGGGAGCAAGGGACATCCCCAGCATCTCCATCTGTAGATCCTGTGGAAACTCCCCCTCCCTGGCCTCATGACTTCTCTAAAGGATGGCTCAGTAGGAAAAAGGATAAGGAAAAAAGGTCAAAGTGAGCCCCTGGATAGGCATAAGCTTGATCTGATGTGGCTTTTGCAACAAGACATGAGAACACAGCATTTCTCTTGTCACCCATGATGGAGGGCATCGGGGGGGGGTAAGCCTCCCCAAGGAGACTGTGCCAATAAAGGGAGAAGGAACAGGTCAGATCCCAGAAGACAGGACTTTTCTAATCTAAGAAGCTCAGTATCTTTGTGAGGAGCTGAACACGAACGTCAGTGCACATCTTCAATGCGACAAAGGTGTTTGTTCAACACATATTTTTGAGTCAGTGCTACCTGTGTTGACATGTGATGATCTTAATGGTGAATAAAAAGTAAGCACAGCTGGGCACGGTGGCATGTGCCTGTAATCCCAGCTACTTAGGCAGCTGAGATGGGAGGACCAGTTGAGCCCAGGAGTTGAGTCCAGTCTGGGACATATAGTGACACTCTGCCTTTACAAAAAAGAAAAACAATTTTAAAAATTACACACACACACACACACACACACACACACACACACACACACACACACACGCTAGTATGTCCCACGGTGGTGGAGCTGTGAACTCTGACTGGTTGGTTGAAGGGCTGTCTCTTAGGGCGGAGGTTGGTTTCAGCTGTATTTTGGATTTCCTACAGTTCAGGACCACAGAGTTCTAGATTCACTAGGTAAAACTGTTTAATCTTGTTTGAAGATCAGGAGTTTAGGTCTTCTGGTTGGCTGGGTGGAGAGGTGGTTTCCATGTGGCCATCTTTTCCAGCTAGACATGTTCATCACCTCTCTGCCTAGGGAAAGACTCTTTAATATGTACCTGTTAGGAGAGACGTATTGAATATTAGCACATATTTGGGTAGAGAGATTAAGGTAAATATATTCTTAGAATTTTAGCCAGTCATCTGTGTAAAAACAAAACAGAATCTCTGATAGGAATGAAAGTTAAACTATTCATTTTTAACTTCCACATGTCAAGACAGTATCACACTAGTCTATGTGGATTTTTATTAGCACGGAACTTAGAAAAAAAAATTTTTAAATGATGACATTTGTCCAAGGCAAGTATTACTAAAGGAATATATGGTCTTCAATGGCCTGGTAAAAAGACCCTTGATCAAATTAGAACTACATTTTTTGCTTTCAGCACCTTGAAATCCAAATGTCCCGGGGAAGCGGGAATAAAAGAACCAGGATTCTTATTTGTGACAGTGGTCCTTTCCTGTGATTCCATTTCCCTTTATCTGTTTCAGAAACTGTCTGGACGGAAGATAAATCCAGTTCTGCGGATGTTTGGTCAGTCCATATCGGGAGGCATTGATATGGATGGAAATGGCTATCCTGGTAAGCTGTTTTTCTTTAAAGGCACAGGAGATGAATAAAGAGAAGTGCATGAGGTGGAATAGTTTCCAGGCTGTTTAGAAATCATTACGACCATTTAGGGTTAGTACAATTCACACAACAGATGGGGGTGTTTTGCCTGGTATTCAACTTTAAGGTGAAAATAGTGTTGAAGTTTATTTCAGGGTTTTAAAAACAGTCTACTCTTAAGGGATTAAGCACCAGGAGGGTGGATTTTTTTTAGTGATTCCTGTGGCAGCAGTTCTTTCTAATGAAGAAAAAAGGCAATGGCCACATATAAAATGCTAAGTAGTGAAATTTCATGTTTTTTTTTTCTTTGACATTTAAATATGTTCAGAGGCCTTTTACTCTTGAGAGAGAAGAGGAGCAGCATTATCACCACCCTTACTCCCAAAAGATGATTATTGGGAAAGATTTGGAGCAAGAAGGAACCATGGTCTCTTGCTCATGGACAAAACAGACTATCACTATTGAAGGCTAGCTGGCTTGTCTTCAGGATTGTCTTCAAGGCTACTGCCTCGTGGTGGTTGAGGCTAATTGAATAGAAATATATGGTCTCAAACCCCAACCCCAAGTGATATCCGGTTTAGGTCAAATGGATTAGGTGGTGGAGTAGTGGTTCTTCAGGTGTTTGAAGATGGAATGGGGTGAGGTGAGGAAACAAAGACAAGAATCTGAAAAAATCCAAAATCATCATGGAATTCAGAAAACACTTCCCTGAGTATGTAGTTCTCTTGCTTTTGAGAAACAATTTCTTTCCACTTAAAATCTGAGAAAACTAATGCAATCCTGTCTGAGGACACCCAATTTTGTAGTTTTGTATAGATAGGAGTTTTGAACATTCCCTAAGACTTCATGGAGCCAGGAGGAAAGGTGGGAATAGAAAGGGGTCAGCTTTGAAACTTTTGTCCCAAGATAGATCTTGTGGGTCTTTTTAATTTGAGAAAGCTGTTCTCCCTTTTCTGGGTAATTTGTGGCCATCCTCAAATAATACCTTATGTGGGTTTAGCATGTTAATATATGCAGAATGCTTCCACATGTGGTGTGTATCTCGCAGTGATCCTGACAGGTAGGCAGGGACAGGGTGTCCCCCACTTTATAGACAAGGATGCTGAGGCTCCAGGAGGTTGAGGGACTGACCAGCGCCCCGGTGGTGGTGGGGACCCAGGCTTCCCAGTGGTTCAGCCACTTCTCTGGATGCATGGTGGGGTGTTCACATTTCACAACAGCTCTAAATTTCTTACCTTGCATTTTTCATAGGAGAAATGACAAATTCATCAGGTTCTTTTATTTTCAAACATAGAGTTAACACAAAAAGGCTATTGAAGGACAAAATTAACAAACACACCCATGTGCAGTAATTTTAGGAACATGATAATTCATGGATTTGCTATTTGTTTTTCCTTTGGGAACCTTAGGGCTAAGAGATTTATATCAGGGTTTGAGGAAAGGCAGAGAGCTATTAGATATGCAAATACTTCCTAAATTAAAGTTATTTAGGAGTAAACATTACCAGTTAAACCAGTATCATGGTTTATAATTTACCAAGTATTTTTATGAATTTTCTGATTTGAATATCTGATTTCATGTAATTAATAGATATTTAAGATACATTTAATGAGTATTTAATAAATGTTTATTATTACATTAATAATATATATAATAAGTATTGTGATTGGCAGTTTTTGAAGTAAGTACTGGGGATAGTTATCTTGATTTTACAGACAAGGACACTATGAGACACCCTGAGATCACACAGAGTGAGGTGTGGAGGGCGATGGTTCCTGTGTTCTACAGAACCTAGAGCATTTCCAAGAGTCATTTAATTCTAGGTATCTGTCTCTTTAATTCACTGATACCAAAAGAAGTATAATCTAAAATATTCTAGTAACCACATTTTAAAAAAGATATAAAAAGACAGATGAAGTTAATTTTAATAATGTTTTATTTAGCCCCTGGTCTAGTCAACATATTATCATTTCAACATATGATCAATATAGAGGTTATTAATGAGAGAGTTCATGGTTTTCCATACTAGGTCTTGGATACCCAGTATGTATGTTACACTTATAGTGCACCTCAATCCAGACCAGCCACACTTCAAGGCCTCAATAGCCAATAGTGATGATTAGCTGTCACATGGGATAGCTTGGCTCTAATTCTTACAAAATTATTATATAGCTCAGAGAGTGTCTGTCAGAGGGCTCTCTGACCCCAAGGCTGGGCCATTGCTGTGGAATACCTTGCCAGGGGTCTGGTGGGGATGGGCTTCAACAAGTTTCTGAGTGCTGTGACCTTCTCATTTTCAGATGTCACTGTTGGAGCCTTCATGTCTGATAGCGTGGTTCTTCTAAGGTGAGATGCCTCACTCTTGCTCTTTGGGTTTCGCTGTGCCTGGGTGAGGGATGAAGTTTTTCACTGTTACCGTTTCCCTCTGTCCTGTTCCTTGCAGGCTGGAGGTGCTTAATTAGTGGGAATGCTGCCTTTATTTCCTTATTTGTATTATCCACTAGTCCAGAGTTTCCAGCTAGTAGCCTTAAATGGCTTCCAGCTGTCAGATGATAGCATCCTTGGAACTTCTAGCAGGGTTTGGGGTGGCCTAACTCCTGAGCCCTAGAGCTGTTTGCCTCTGGCCATGAATAGTCTCTTCTGTTAATGTGCCATACACATTATCTTTTCCTATGGGTGCCATGACACTCAAAGGGCTGGAAGGCACTGTCCATCCTATCTCTTTATCCCTATACCCTGCATCCTTACCTCTAGTCAGTTCTCAACTCCCTGAGGATGGGAGCCTCCTGCCTGTTGGACAGCATGTCATTCTCTGTTGGCAGCAGAGATGAGGAACGTGAGCTCAGGCCCAGAGCTTGCTGAGGCCCGTGCAGTCTGATCTTTCCTACAAAGGCCAGCGGGCCGCCATCACCACCCATGAACCCTCTCCAAGTATTTCTGGCTGAATGAGTCAGAAGAGGCAGAATTACACTTTGGAGTGGGAGCCAACTCTTAGGTTTTGTTAATAACTTGATGGCAAAACTTTCTAAAATAGACTAGTAGGATTTCAGAGCTGGAAGAGATCTCAGAGTCTGTGTAGTTCCATGCCCCAGTTTCTCCTTATTCAGCAGTACCTTCTTCTGAGTCTAAACTGTAGGACCACACAGTCCCTTTTTGAATGAGGTGCCCGTGGCTGGGGGCTTAGTAACTTCTAAGGGAGCCAGCTAACCCCTAGGAAGGGCTAAACATTGAATTGTTAAAGAGACAGAAGAGCCTTGAGGTTAAGTGGGAACCAGGGGCCAAGGTGGCCTGAATTTAAACCCTGACTCTGCCCTTACTAGGCAAGTTTCCCGGCAAGTTCTGTGACTTTCTATTTTAGGATTCTCCTCTGATAACAAGGAAAACAATACAGATGCTCCCGACATGTGATGGGATTATGGCCAAATAAGACGAAACACAGTGTTTTCTTTTTTTTTCTTCTTTTTTTTTTTCATTTAAGAAAAAATTTTTATTTTAAAGATGTGGGGTATAATTGAGGGTTAGGTATACTAATGGTCATTGTACTGATAAGGTTTGGGTCTCACTTTGGTCCCCACTTCACCTGGCTTGAGATCAGGTACACGTATTGATGAAGTGTGCCCCCCTCCCCGGCAGTTTTCCACTACTGCCAATCCCTTTCTTATAGTATTTTGATAATTGTTCAGGGTCCGCTTGTGAGTGAGAACATGTGGTACTCAGTTCTTTGTTTCTGTGATAGACCACTGGGTATTATCGATTCTAATTCCATCCAAGTTCCTGTGAAGGTCATAATTTTGTCCTTCTTTTTGGCTGCATAATAATCCATCAGAAACACAGTGTTTTCAACTTTTAGGATGGGTTTATTTGGACATAACCCCATTGTAAGTCGAGTAGCATACTGAATTTATACTACTTTCTCACCATTGTGAAGTAGAAAAATCGTAAGTTGAACCACCATAAGTTGGTGTGTATAGTACATGTAAAATGCTTAGAACAGTGCCTGGTTTAAGTACTTAATGAATGTTAGCAAGTCTTATGTAAATTGGATTAAATTGTCTCCCTAAAATTCTGCTTCTTGGTCTTGTATCTGCTATGTAGCAACCCTTCAGTAACTGTGTCCTTTAGGTGGTGACTTCACTGAGCTAAGACCTTCCAGTTCCTTTGTTTCTCCCATGACTGGGTTTTCACTTTCTTTATTACTTCTTTCTCTGTGTTAATAGTGGCTCCAAATGATTGTGGCTCCAAATGATTGAGGTTACTGGGAAGCCAGTAACTCTATCAGGTGATACCGTTTTTTGCAGTCTTTACTACTTTGGTTTATCAAGAGTCCTCTCAATGAAAACATATTTCTCATCTGGGCACGGTGGCTCATGCGTGTAATCCTAGCATTCTGGGAAGTCAAGGTGGGCAGATTGCTTGAGCCCAGGAGTTTGAGAGCAGCCTGGGCAACATAGTGAAACCTTGTCTCTATTAAAAAAAATCAAAAAAGTTAGCCTGGTTGATTGAAGTTGCTGTGAGTTGTGACTGTTGTGATCATGCCGCTGCACTCCACTCTGGGAGACAGAAGGAGACTTCCAACTAAAAAAACAAACAAACAAAAAAACCCCAAACACACTCTTTGAGTTTTCATAGTTGGAAACAGGTTTTCTTAAAGCTGAGGGCCTCTGGCTTAAGGTCCATTATGTGGGTTCTGCTTTCCCTCCATTCTTGTATTTTTTTTTTTTGAGTTGGAGTCTCACTCTGTCACCCAAACTGGAGTGTAGTGGCCGCTCCCGGTCACTGCAGCCTCAACCTGCTGGGCTCTGGCGATCCTTCCACTTCAGCCTTCCAAGTAGCCGGAACTATAGGTGCGCGCTACCACGCCCGGCTCATTTTTTGATTTATTGTAGAGATGAGGTCTTGCCAAGTTGTCCAGGCGGGTCTCGAACCCACGGGCTCAGGCAATCCACTCACCTCAGCCTCCCAAAGGTGCGGGATTACAGGCTGAGCCACCGAGCCCGGCTCATTCTTGTATTTTTAAATCTTCCTGTTGTGAGCTCCAACCCCAAGGGGCTTTTCTTTGTCTCTCTTCCATGGTAAGGAACAGCCTTCTCCAGGTGTTTGCTCACTTAAAGATGCAGACATGAAGTGAGGTGCTTCCACGGTAGTCGGGAGACCCTAGACTCCAGCCTGGGGTAGGTAGTTGAGTCTGATGAGGTGGAATTCAACAGGTACAAATGCAAAGTCCTTCAAGGAAAACTCCAGGGGAGCACATACCAGGAGAAGAAGGTCTAGGAGAGGCACCTGGGGAGTCCCAGCCTGATGAGGTGACCGGGAGAAGGCCCTGGAAGAGCTGTCAGGCCATTACAGCTGTAGGTGGGCATGTAGGGATGGTGTGATCACAAGAATCCACTCCCTTATTTATTCAGCTAACGTGTGTTGACCTGTTGAGATGCAACTACGCATCAGATCCTGGGAATTTGGCAGAGAACCTGACCTTTTTCCTGGCACTAGGTACTAGTCAGGGAGCCATACACAAGTAAAGAATCAACGAACATTTGGTGGGCACCTACCACATGCCAGGCACTGGGTGAGCACGTTTTGTGTATTCCTTCTTTGTTGTTGGTTTCTTTTTGTGTTGAGGTAGCACTTTTGCATACAATAAAATACACCAATTTGAGTGTATGGCTCGTTTAGTTTTGACCACTGCATGTACTGTGCAACTACCACCCCTATCATGATAAAGACCATTTCTATCACCCCAGAGTTTCCTTGTGCCTCTGTTTAGTCACACCTCTCTCCCAATAGATAGCCACTGTTCTGACTTCTGTCACCATAGACCATTTTGCCCGTTCTAGAATTCACATGTGTGGAATTACACAGTGTGTAGTCTTTGTTTCTGGCTTCTTTCACTCATTGTGATACTTTTACGGTTCACCCATGTTGCTGTGTTGTTTTTCCCCTTAATGCGTGGTATTCCATTGACGAACATCGTTGAGCTTGTTCATCCATCCGCTTGTTGACAGAACACATGTTAACTCTTAGTCTTCTTAGCAACCCATGACACAGGTACTGTTATTTTATTATCCCTATTTTATGGGTGAGGTGACCAAGGGACATGCAGGTTTTATTTATTTAAAAGGGAAGATAATTCCAGATTGTGGACTGTGAGGACAATGAAGCAGGGCTATATGGTCAGAGGTGACGAGGTCAGAGGCGACAGCATCAAGGTCAGCAGGAGAGGCCAAGAAGATTGAAGCCTGAGTCTTGTTAGAGGCACAGTGGGAGATCAGTAGTGCCCTCGGCTGTGGTGGCTCTAAAGAAGTGATGGGATAAAAGTCAGACAACTTGGGTGGGTAGGAGAAGAAGCAAGAAAATAGATGGTGAATCTTGACTCTTTCTCCAGAAGCTTGGCTACAGAGCAGCAAAATGGGACTGGCAGGTAGTACAGAGGTTGTTTTAAGGATGGGAGACTGTAGACCAATGATGAGGTCAAGAATGTCTTTCCTGGTCTCCTTGTGCCTTACCCTCCTGGGAGAGATCAGAGGTAGTTGCCTTCAGCTTCACCCTTATCCATACGAACCCCATTTCTCTGACCTCAGTTCCTACCCTTGGGGCCTGGAGAGGTTGAAGAGACAAGAGGTAAGAGGGGTGGCTGCTGCAGGGGGACGAGGTTGATGACAGATAGAATCTGGTACACAGACTGGGGGCGAGGGGATGTGGATGAGGGTAAAGCTGAGGGTGACCACCTCTGGTCTATTCTAGGAGAACAAGGGACTCAGGGAAGCTTTCAAAGACAAGATGGGGTCCCTCAGAGAGGGAGCAAGGAGGGACAGGCAGAGAGATTGCTGAGCATGTCTGAGGGTCCCAGCAGGCTGGGTGTCTGTGAGGGCCTTGATTGGTACAGTCCTGGGATGCAGCTGAGCGGGAGTGAACAAGAGGCCTGGAGGAGTTGGCTGACTGTGCTAAGCAGGGTCTCAGGCATTGCCTAACTGACAGGCAGTGTAGTCAGATTTTGAGTTATCGCAGATTTTAGATGGGACCAGAAAGGGGGAGAGGACTGGGAGACCATGCATGTGCCTGCACACATTGACACACACTGTACTCACTGTCCTAAGGATGAGAGACCAGAGGTGTGTGTGTGTGTTAGGAATGCTTTGGGCTGCAATTAAGACTAACCTGACTGAGATGCTTGAAACTATAAACACAAATTAGCTCCCTGGAGGTAGGTGGCCCCGTGGCTGGCTTAGTAGCCTAGAAGTGTCACCAAGGGTGCAGGCTCTTTATCTGCCCCATCTGTCTTTGCCCTGCAAGCAGCACTAATCCTGCAAAAGGCTGGGTAACTTGAGCAACATCATGCCAAAGGTCATGCTGACAGGTTTTATTATTTACCTGGAAGTGAAATGTCAGGATTTGAACTGTCAGAAGTATTCCAGCTACCAGCATCTTTTAAAAAAAAAAAGTCTTGAAAGCACTCATGGTGCTGTTCTTTGCTACTTGGGGGCTGGCACATTTGCAGCAGGACTGTGAAATGCAATCTCTCCACCCCTAGGCATGTGGGCTGGTCCGATTCTGCCTTCAGGAAGTTTGCTTCCCTTGGATTAGCTCAGGAGTAGGTCCTGTGTCAGGGTGATAGGAGCCCGGTGCTTTGACATTGGCGGTCACAGGAAGTGATCAGAGAGGCCTCTGAAAGATTTCTGGACTTTTTCTTCATCCAGAAACAATACTTGGAGTTGAAACAAAAAGCTTTGAGGGAACTGAGCTGACAGATGTTGGCAAGAGATGTACCTGCAAGGGTCTCTGTCGGCTGTTTCAAACGGCTCTGTTTCCACAACCCCCAGTGAGGTCGTTCTGTCTGGACTGCCCATGTCTGTTTCCTGCTTGCCTCATCATCTTGGGCAGAACTCTCCTGTGAGAAGAGGAGGCGGCCTCCTCCCTGATGAAGTGGCCCCTGGGCTTGGTGTCTGTACAATGACCATGCAGGTCAGGAACTGGGCAGGGTGGAGCCCAACTCTCCCTGGAACCTCTGTCAACTTGTAAAACTTTGGGCACTCCTGTGGTTTTCAGTTCCCTGGGCTGGAGTAAAGTCTGCACCTTTTTAACAAGGGTTTTTGCACATCTACTATCATGGGAACATGAAGATGAATTCTCGGGGATTCCAACCCTTGCAGGGGGCGGGGGGTGCTGCAGGCGGGCGGGGCAGGTTTTAGAAGTAGACAGTGACTATTCACCAAAGTAAATGGGGGCCAGAGGTGTGTGTCCAGGTCTGGGAGCACAGAGAAGAGGGACACCCAACTTCCAGAGTTACTAGAGAAAGCTTCCTCGGGGCGGGGGCACTCAAACTGGCTATTGAAGGGTCAGTGGGGCTTTATAGAGTGTCCATTAGCATCTGTACAATCCCATTAGCCAGGGGTGAGTGATCCACTTTCTAAGTTATTTCTAGTGTCTTCTAAGAATGAGCCTAGAAGAAAATGGAAAGACCAGGATGTTGGATTTCTTCCATGCACTGCTGTTGTCTGACTTGCATTTGTCTAACAGCTGGATTTGCTCTGGTAGTCAAACAATTCCAATGTACCCATCACCACAGCCTCTCTGTTGACCTGATCTCCTGGCATGGTGGCAGCAATAGCAGTAGTGGCCGCACCTCCCCTCAATTCTCTTGTTCACTCAAGTTTTCCTTAATGCTTTCTTCCCTTGGAATTGGTGGCAGTCATCATTCCCATCTACCCTGTCACCCTGGGCTCTCTTGAGGGATCTTCTATACAAGTGAGGTCATTGTTCTCACATGGCTAATGCCCTGTAATCTTGTTATATTACCCTGGTGGCATGAAGACCGGGGCTCCTAAGAGGTGAAAGGGTTTCTTTGTGAGGCTTGGAGGGGAGGAGGTTAAGCTGCGGCTTAGGTGAAGCCTCCCTGAGCAGATGTCTACTGTGAGAGCAGAATGGTGTGATTCACTCTTAGCTTTTGTCTGAGTGCCTGGGGTGGGGGAGCCCAGGGTGCTGTCTATCCATCAAGCTCTGGAGGATGGTCCACACCAGGGAGAAGTGTGTGGATGTTTATCGGGTTTCACTTGTTCCTGAGGCCAGGTGGGTTGATTTCTTCTGCTCTGCAGTGCTATGCTGTTAGCAGCTGGGACTCCATCAATCAAGTTCTTTTAGAAAAATGCCCAATGAATTGAGGGAGGTAAATGAAGGGGGAGGTTTGACCAACTGGACAGGACTGGAGCTTTGCAGTTGATGCTTATAATGGCAGTAAATGCTTTGGGGAATCCCTGAGTGTGCATCTGTTTCTTGAATCCTGACATCTGCCATAGAAACTCCTCTTAAATATTTTGTTATCTCCCTAATAAAATGGAAATCAGTACTTAATTGGTAAAATTTTAATTAATCGCCCAGCATCTGGTGGTTCATTTATGGCTTCAACCAGATGTGTTTTATTAACAGCTAATGTGCCTTTCTTATTGGGAAGCTAACCATTAATTTACTAGGCAATACGCCACTTCTAAAACCAGAAAAAAGTACTTACAGAACACACTGGCCCTTCTCTCTTGGGCTCTTTCATACTGTAATTTAACTCTGGGTTGCAGGCCTGGGATTTATCCTGTTGATGTAGTTCTTGTTTGGTTCTGTGAGCTGTTCCTTACCATGACTAAGTCGCTTTCCTCTCTTGCCCTGCAGAGCAAGGCCGGTCATCACCCTGGATGTCTCCATCTTCCTCCCAGGCTCCATCAACATCACGGCGCCTCAGTGTCACGATGGACAGCAGGCTGTGAACTGCCTGAACATCACCGCCTGCTTTCGCTTCCATGGCAAACACGTTCCGGGAGAGATTGGTAATGAGCCACTGAACCAGGGCTCAGGGCACCCATCTTAGCCAGGGTGGACTTGTTGGATGTTTTGGACATTTCTTGTCACTGTGCATCCCAGCTGGTTGTGCAGGCAGCAGGCCCACAGGCTAGTCCCCCATTCCCTCTGAGGTTCTGTTCCTTGTCTTTCCTGCTTGTCAATATGTTCTTGATTTCACACACCTCCAGCTCTGGGACAAATAATGTTGGATCTCAAGCGTCCTTTCCTCAAATGTATGTGGATAGGACAGACTGAAACCTCGCTGGGCTGTGGATAGGACAGGCCTGTGGACTGATGAAAATATAGTGCCTGGAGACTGGCACTTATGGAATATTCTGAGCAATTAGAAAACAAAAGTGGGGCTTTGGAGGCTCCCACTGAGTGTCACCCAGATGTTAGGGGTCTGGGAGATTAGGTCATTGACTGCAGTTGGAGCCAAAGGCGACTGGTGGGATCAGGATGCTGATTTTATGAAAGCTTAGGTTTCTAAAAGAGGGTCACTGCTTTGGCACCTCAGATAATTGAAAAGAGGCAGGTGGTAGCTGCCCTGCCATTTTTCTGACTGGGGAAGGTCCACTTGCTAGCTCAACTCCAGGGATTGGGTTAAGCCTCAGAACAAGATAGGGTCAGTGTTGATTATAATTCAGAGTATGTGATCATGTGAAGGAAATGAATGCGGAGTATTAATAGGTGCTTTGTTTTTACTTAAAAGGCCGATTTAATAATAGAAAGTAAAATTCCAGACAAACAAGAACACCAATAAGGGCCTGGACTCCCTGACTTTCATAGGCATTTCTGCTTGCTATCCAAAGTGTAGTCCCTTGACTCTCAGGATCAGCGTCCCTGGGAGCTTGTTAGAAATGTAGGTTCCTGGGCCCCACCTTGGATCCCTGAAAAAGAATCTGCATTTTAACAAAATCTCCAGGAGATTCCTGTGCACATTTAAGTTTGAGAATTACTGGTCTGGAGTACACATGTGTGCACATACATCCAAACATGCAGAAACACATAAGAGCTGGTTTATTCCTCAACTGCACCTTAAATGTTCGCCTTATTTAACAACATGCTAATCTTTCTCTCCTGTCTTATTGGCAATGTTATCTTCAAGTCTATTGAATAAGCTCAACAATTAAACCTTGCACTTATTTACATAGATTTATTTTTCTTTTTAAAAGAGCTTAGAAATTTCAACATTGAATGTAACCATAAGAAAAAAGTTGGAAATTGGTTAGTGAGGGAGGAGTAACAAAATTTTAGTGTATAGCCCAGTCAGACAAAGCAGCTTACTCAAGATCATGCAGCTACTGGTGAAGGCAGGAGTGGAATTCCGATCTCATGATACTTAGTTGTTTGTTTTTTTTTTTCCCAGTAACTATTTCTCACCACCTCCCTAATTTTTTAAAACACCACAGTCTTAAGGAAAAAACTTTCTGATGGTCCTGGGACTTGTGCATTCTCCACCTGATTAGATGATGTGTCCCCTATCAAACACCAGCTCAGATGTAATTGGACTCTGTGAAAAAATCATTTTTAAAGAATAATGGAAGATTAATTCTGATGCACATAAAAATGAGCAGAACTATTCTAGAACTCTAACAAAAAGCAAGCAATGAATAGCCTGTGTGTGTTCATTTGATGAACAGTTATTGTGTATCCACGTGTGGAGGTGACAATCCTGCCTTCCTGGAGCTTCTAAAAGGAGTTACAAAGAGTTTCTACTATTTTCCTCTTGAAGCAGTGTACACAACTTTCAAACTGTCTATTGCTGTTGTAGTGAAAGTGAAGGTAAATCAGAGTAGCAGGAACACAGGAGAAGAAACTGAGTTGCAAGTCAGAGCAGGGGCGATTTCAGAGCATGAGACAAGTGGTGGCATGGACTCTGACTTGGAGGTTCGAGGGCTGAGTGAGGAGATGTGGGAGCCTCCTTGGGCTGTTCCCAAGCAGGGGACCCATCAGGTATCAGCCTTTCACTGACCACTAGGCAGAATTACAGAGAAGGTCTAGGCTTAGCCATGGCCCTAGGAGTGTTAGGGTGAAATGGGAGAGATGGGCAGTTGGATGCCATATTGTACTGTACCTCATGGTCAGTGTGGCACCACCTGTCTGATATCTGACATCAAGTGGGGCCCGTTCAGCACAAGTGCATCCTCCTATCCGTGTCTCTTCCTATTGTCCATCTGCCACGTGGGTTCATGGATGAAATCAAACATCCTTTTACACCCACATTGATTTAAGCTTCAGGCTCAAAGGGAATGGTAGCTGGAGAATTTTGGTATCAGCAAGGCAATGGAGAAAATTATTCATCCCTAGCATTTTTCTGTCACTTTTTTGCTGGAATTCAGGAAAATGAACTATATTTTAATCTTTACAATAGAGGGAGAAATGCAGAAATCTGCCAAAAATTGAGCTGGCAATGGAATGGGGAGTTTGGGGAGGGAAAGATGGGCAGCCATTATGGAAATGTGATAGGAAAAAAGGTGGAGGTGAAAGGTCTCTTGTCATGTAACTGTGGGGATCCTGTTGTGTGTGGGGTGTTCGAGAGTTCAGCATAGAAGGCAGCCCCTTGGGTCTAAACTATTGGGAAGGTCAGGTCTCCAGATGGAGGAAAGGTGGAGGTACCTCCAGGGAACAGTTATCCTCTGCTCTCCTCTGGGCTCAGCAGAGGACGCTGGCTGGCTCAGTGTCATCTCACAGGCCTCTGAATCAGGAACCCATGACTGGGACTTTGAGTTGGGAGCCTTTTACCCTCCTTGCTGACAACTGTGAGGAACCACATTGATGGTGGCTTTGTCCACAGAATGCCTGGTGAGTGAAGGCTAGCCGTGGGCAGGCTTTCCGGGCACCTCAGTACCTGCATATGGTGGTCTGAGTTTGTCAGCAGGTGGGCCACATTTGGGCAGTACAATTCACAGCCTCCTGGAATGTACTAGGTGCTTCTCAACACCTGTCAGAGGTGGTCTCTCCTGTGGTACTTACCTACTAGTGTCTTCAGCCCCATAACCTCTCTGAGGATGGTTTTGGGAGCCATAGCAGTTGATGCTACAGTCTTGTCTCTGGTTTCTTCTTCCTACCTGGTAGGGCTTGAGCATACGTACAGAGAAGGGACACTAGTCACTTCTTTATTTCTTGTTGTAGCAATGGGAAACCATAGCTCCTACTTGTTTTTCGGAGTATTCAGGACCAGCTGATTAGCAAAGCCACTTGGAAGGGCTACTGTGGCTTCTGGGAATAATACTATGGGAAATAAATACACACATTTCTGAAACAGGAAGAGTCCAGTTAGGAAAACAGAAACCACACCAGTTATTTTAACAGAGGTGATTTAACTTTGAGAATGGATTTAACAGGTCATGGGGGACGTGGCCATAACTTCAGGAAGCAGCTGCTGCCTCTAGGTCTGCCCCAATGGATCTCAAAGTGTGGTCACAGCCCAGCTGTGTCAGCATTACCTGGGATCTTCTTAGAAATGCAAATTCTAACTGATCAGAAGCTCTGAGGATGGGGACCCAACAACTGTGTTTGAACCAGCCTCCAGGTGCCTTAGATTTGAGAACCATTGGTCAAGGTTATACTTGGGGTTATCCACCTATCAGAACCTGTAAGCTGGGAAAAGGGAACCTGTGGAGTTGTGTATTAGTCCATTTTTATGTTGATACAAAGAAACACCTGAGACCGAGTGATTTATAAAGGAAAGAGGTTTATTTGGCTCATGTGCTGCATAGTGCTGGCATCTGCTGGACCTCTGGTGTGAGGCCTCAGGAAGCTTACAATCATGGCGGAAAGTGGAGAGGAACAGGCGTGTCACATGGCAAGAGTGGAAGCAAGAGAGAGAAGGGAGGTGCCAGACTCTTTTTAAACAACCAGCTCTAAGAGAGTGAGAACTCATTTATTACTGTGAGACTGGCACCGATCCATTCGTGAGGAACCTGTTCTTAAGATCCTGTCACCTCCCACTCAGCCCCACCTCCATCATTGGGGATCACATTTTAATATGAGATTTGGGGGAGACAACCATCCAAGCTATGTCAAGCTGGGACCTGAACTTCTGAGGAAGGGGGTACTGGCTCTGCTGCTGATCTCCCTTAGGGATGAGATGAAGCTGGCTTTGAAGGATGGGGTGGGTAGGTGGGGATTAGAAACTAGAATTAACTCCTGTTGGGGTCAGCTGCCATGGAAAACTGTTGCCGGGTTAAGTTGATGTGAGTCTCTTCTCCTTCCTCCAGCCTTGCAGCCCCACAGATTCTCCACATGGGCAGAGCCTTACAGGGAGCCTCTGGCAAAACAGAAATGAGATCTGCAGGATCCCAGCCCCAGCATCACAGGGCAGAGTAGAGGAGGTTGGGTTGGGGGTGAGAGACAACAGCTTGTAAACCAAGAACAGCAGATATCCAGTGACAGTGAGTTACTGCAGTCCTGTTAAGTCATTCAATCCACACAGAATAATTAAGGTCTTACAGATTGCCAGACATTGCTCAGCTGAGGGACAGAGCAGTGAACAGGATGGACAAAGTCCTTGCCTTCATGAAGCTTGTGTTCCGCTGGGAGGGAGGCAGATACTCAGGACAGATACAAGCGGTGTGCCCTCATGCTCTTCCAGGATGTGCACTGAGCCCTGGTGTGGCAGGTGCTGGGGTGCAGACTGGGCTCCCTCAAGAGCAGGTTTGTAGCATATTTTGTAAAGCAGTTTAAAACAGGCATTCTTCCTGTCCCTAATAGTATGAATTAATCACTTCGTTCTTGGCCTGGGAGCAGCCTGTGGCCCCTTAGAGCCTTCTGGCTGGCTTAGATGAGGGTGATGAGGGTGATGCGTGCTCTTTTCACAAGAGGGCTCTGCTCCTGCCCCATGGGTGGTGCTTGTCCCTGCTCGCTGGCCAGGCTGAAGCTTAAACTTGCCTGTCAAGTCTCTGGAGGCTGGGATGGAGCTGGTGATCCTGGACTCTCACCAGAGTGGTAAATGGAAGCCAGGAAGGTTTGATCCTCAAGTGGTTGCGTTTTGCACTCCGACCCAGCACCCCTGTGTTTCTGTGGCTCTCGGCCAACCAACAATGTCATGAGTGAACAGACGTGCCTGCCCTGCCTATGGATACCCAGCTGAGCCAGGTCTGGAGAGAGAGCACCATGGGCATCCACACTAATAACAGAAATAGGGTTGAAACCAGGCGATTTGTCCCCAGGCCCTTCCTCTGGCTTTAGGGCTGCAGTTCTGCTCTGGAAAGCGTTTGAAGGCAGAGAACGTTCTCTGAGCTCCTTCCAGTCTCTTGAGAAGCATGAAGATGGGATAATGAGGCAAATCCATGTGATGTGAGAAATGGGGTGACCTAGTGAAGTGGTTATTATGTCATTCCTTTGAGGAAAGGGTCTAGGAAAGTCAGTAAAGTGGAAATATCCTCCCCCCACCCCCAACTCTTAAGGGAAGCTCAGAGTAACTCTGGAAGGAGGATTTATTAGAATTTCACAGCTGAAATCTTGTTCTGACGGAGAATGGGAATGAATCAAAACTCTCTGGGAGAGACCAGAGCCAGAGTTGATGAGAGACAGCTGGCTCCCTCCTGGCCCAGGCCGGTGTGGGGGGGCCCTCGGGAACCAGCTGGGGGCCGGGAGAGGAGGCGGCTGAAAGTATTACTCGGGGCTGATCAGCATTTCCATCAACATGACATCATTCAACATGGCATGGACATAAGCTGCCAGAAGGAAAAGCCTAAAAATGGGAAATGTGCTGTTGGAGCAGGCCCTAATCAGAGCCAGCACCCTCCCTGAGACGGCCAGGGCTAGGCCGGCTGGCTTGCATTATTGTGGGCTGGGGCAATTCCGCCGGCCTGACGCACCCACCCTCCCAGGACCTGGACTTCTGAGCCCTGCAAACCAATTGAAAGATTGAGACTGAGATTACTTGATTGATTTTTAAGGATTTTAAGGAACTGGTTCATGAGATTATGGGGTCTGGCAAATCTGAATTCTACAGGGCAGGCCAGGATCCCGGAGACCCAGAGAAGAGTTGATAGTGTGACTTGAGTCTAAAGAAGTCTAAAAGCAGAATTCCTTCTTTTGGGGGGAACCTTACTCTTTTAAAATCTTCAACTGATTGCATGAAGCTCATCCGCACTATGGAAAGCCTACTGATTTCACTGTTAATCTCATTAATATTGAAAACATACCTTTCTAAAAAATACCTTCACAGTGACATCTAGATGGGTGTTTGAACAGCTACTTGGGTACTGTGGCCACATAGATGCTGTATTTCTGAGCAAGTTACCACTGTGGGCAATCGAAGCTCAGTCTTGGTGGGGAACCCTGGGAGTCAGTGTAGAACATGCCTCAGAGTAGCCCACCCACGGGGCAGAGGTCCTGCATTATAGAAGGCTGCTCCTGGTCCTCTGTGCACGTAGGCAGAGCCACTAGAGAAAGCCCTCGGGAGAAGGGATGTAGGTACTGTCAGTTGCAGGTTGGGCTGGACAGCAGAGAAATGGCAAAGCCAAGAGGATATGGGTGGGAACTGAAGACCATCCGCTCTGTCTTCCTGTGTTCGTTTCCACCCTGGTTTTCTCTGAGCTCAGCTGGCTCATTTTTGGTGAGATAGCTCCATCCTGCTGTTCCTCCATTGTCCCCCTTCCTGAGGGAAGGCAGCCGTGGTTCTCTTACCTGGGAAGAAGGCTGGTGGGGGGACACAGAGGCGATGCTGCTCAGTAGCTGCTGCCACCACGTGGCTTCACCCGTTCGAGGCCTTCTGGCTTCAGCAGTGTGCATCTCCAGCCGTGACCTTGCTGCACAAGACTTGGAAACTCATTTCAACATAACCCTTCTTACTGTTGGGCTGTTGTGATCAGAGAAAGTAACATAACCAGTGTTTAGTCCCAGATCTTTGTGCTTACTTGGATCTGCTGTCTGTGAATTCAAAAATGTGAGTTGTGGGTCAAGTAATGTAAAAAGCATACCAAGAGCCAGTGTGGTGGGAATAGCCTGGCACCAGAGATTAAGAGAGTCCTGGGTTGGACTCTGCGGTGAGTGACTCTCTGGCCTGGAGTGAGTCTTGTTCCCGATTGGGCCTCAGTTCCCTCATCTGAAAAAAATGAAGGTTTTGAACTAAATGGTCTCTAGGATTGCCTCAGAGCATTGCCAGCCTGAGAGTCTACCCCTTTTTCTGCTGTTGTCCCCATTGGAGTCAGGGTGTAATACTTGAATAGGAGCCCGTATTTTCCGTGTTGAAGCACTTTCCTATATACATTCTTCTCTTTCTAATAATAGCATCTCTTGAGATTATCTGGGTCTTAGGTTCCTTCTGGTGCCACAGCCTTGCCTTGTAAGTCAGCTGTTTGATGGAATATACAAGCTGGGCCCGACTTGTCTTTGCTGACCAGGAATCCATGAGCTCTGCATGGCAAGATTCCTCAGGTGGCAGAGGCCCAGGGAAGCCATTAGAAGCATCAAAAATATGCCCCATGGCAGTTGTAGAATGCCCATTCAGGTCACCATTCTTACCCCCCTGGTAGTTGATCCCTTTGATGTTACTAAAAGCTAGAGCTATCTCTGCTGCCCGACTCCACTTAAGTGCCAGGAGACCTGAGGTTGCTTGTTAGTGATGTTAAAGGTCCCGGCTTCTAAGAGGCAGGTGTGGAGAGACATGGCTGGGCTGGGTCACCTGCCTTCCCATTGCTCAGCCATCTCATCTGTTCGTTTTAGGGGCGGAAGTTTCTGTTCTTGTGCTTTAAAGATGACATATTCCCCTGAATCCACAAAACAGTTAAAAAAATAAAAAGGGCTATGGGCGGACTGACCTCTGGCACAAAAAAGCAGTGAACCAGGTGTGTGGACACTAAAGCCTTATTTACTGAATAACACATGTGGCTATATATTTACCTTTAGACTCAGAGATAATGGAGGTAAAACCTTTTGGGTTTATCCAGTATACATTAGATACTGTGACTGCCATTTTTTTTTTTTTACCTCTCAGATTATGTCACAGAGGTTTTGCCAACTACATTCCATGTTCAGGTACAGGGGATGAGTTATTCTTTGCAGAAGAGCCCTCAGTACAGGCCCTACTGTGGTCATAGTTTTGTTGAAAGGAAATGCACTCGGTGGCTCAGCCTGTAATCCCAGCACTTTGGGAGGCTGAGACGAGTGGATTGCCTGAGCCCACAGGTTCAAGATCAGCCCGGGGAATTTGTTGAGACCTCGTCTCTATGATAAATAAAAAATTAGCTGGGTATAGTAATGTGTGTCTGTAGTTCCAGCTACTTGGAAGGCTGAGGTGGAAGGATTGCCGAAGTCCAGCAGGTGGATGCTGGGGTGGCCATGAGTGTGCCACTGCACTTCAGCCTGGATGACAGGCTGGCTTCCTTTTGTTGGGCATATCACAGGGCTTTCCAGGAGTTGCTATTACATGAAGCCTTGATAATTTCAGCAGCTTCTAGTAACGTTTTATAGGTTTGCCATGATGTTTGCTTGCAAGAACACTGACCTGTGTTGGGAACAACTACTTGTTAATATGCATGTTGGTGGCTCATGGTGGCATGATATTGAAGTCGGGAGAGCCATGATGTGCGATGCACAGAGTGTCGTTGGAAAGACAGAGGGCATCTTGGTTCTTTCTCGACTCTGGGAGCAACCGGGCTGCATGCTGCTCTCTGAACAGGTCTTGATGTGGGGCTGCAGTCCTCCTGTGGAAGGCTAGGTGTCATGTGAAATGTATGAGTGCTCCTGTGAGGTGGGGCCAAGGTGTCCTTGTCATGGTGTCTGTCTTTGCTGATGTTTTGCCCTCTCATTTATTGGCAGGCCTGAATTATGTTCTGACGGCTGACGTGGCCAAAAAGGAGAAGGGTCAACTACCCAGGGTCTACTTTGTGTTGCTGGGAGAGACCGCAGGTCAGGTCTCGGAGAAGCTGCAGCTGACCCACATGGAGGAGATGTGTCGTCACTATGTGGCCCATGTGAAGGTCGGTCCCTCCTGCCTTTTTATCCTCAAACTTTGATCTCTGCAGATGTTCGCTGGCAACTAGTGGCAGCTATTTTATTATGTATGCTCTGGCTTCCAACATTTTTATTTCACGAGAGGGAGAATATCCATTTCTTCTTCTTTTAAAGTTGGAGTCTATCAGCCCTTTATTTATCTTATTGTGCTGGTCTCAGCCTCTGAGGGGGGTTATGATGGGCCAGGTGACCAGTGATGGTCCCTGACTTTGACTTGTTCCTTTGAGAGGTTCCTCATCCTCTCTACTTGGTGAGGCTCAGTTGTCTTCTCAGAGGAGAGCCCCAGAAGCACATGCCTCGGGTCTGCAATATTGCTGGATCACACTGCACCTAATGCCTTTCTCTGTGGTCCACTACACATTAGCCCATTGTCACAGTTAAGGCATTTTAAAACTAGTTGCACTCGATTTTTCTCTGCTGATTACTTTCTATTTATTTTAGGAGTGCATTTTTTGGCCTCTTTCCTCTCTTACTCTAAATAAACTTTCAAATGTTTTCTCCTCTTGAAATTGTTTGTTAAATATGCTTTGCTGCTAGTTCAGGAGGCCAGTCTTTGATTAGCTACAAAGTGGCCCCTGCACAGGCAGGAACTGGCAGAGTGGAAGTCTTGGCAGTACTCGATGCTACAGGAACGGCCAGCCATGGGCCTAGGAGCAGGGCCAGAGAGCAAAGGAGGCACAAGAACCCGCATAATCTGGGACATGTGAAGGGTAGAATGAATGTGAGTTTCAGGGTTATACAGATCCAGTGCGTGCCAAGCTGGATGAGTGTTGTGACCTCTCTGTGTCTCTGTATCTCTAGAATGGAGACAGTAATACTTACCTTGAAAGGTGGTCATAAGTATTAAACATTATGTGATGAATTTACTTATAGGATCTTGCATGGTATCTGATAAATAGAAAGCACTCAGTATTATTATTATTTTGCTGGACCATACATAATTGCCAATATTCTAACATTTTTGACTTACAAAAATACCAATTTCATATGGTTCAACCTAATATTATTAGCTAGTGGATTTCTGACTGATAGTTGAAATAGTCTAAGATTGGAGATGGTCATTCTGTTATTGCAAAGTTAGTGCCAGAGCAGGAGAATAACAGCTGCTTCTAGATGCTTCTGGGCTGTCTGTAGAGAAATGCCACCCACACCCATGGCACTTGGTCTGGCCCAGAGCCCATGAGTCCATGCCCCTGAGATGCTTTTCAGTGGGGCTGGGCTGTGTCTTCTGCCAGAACTCATGCTGGGGCCTGCCCAGACCAGCTGCCCTAGGGTTTGGGGTGCTGGCCATTTATAAAGCTGTTCATGCTTCTGTTAAGCCAGCCAGCCTCGCCTCTCTTGGTCTTAGATGACATTGGCTTGTGGGTGACTAAGGGCCATGGTGCTCAGGACAGGCTCATATGTGACTACTGCCAGGCCTTTGAGTGCCTGTGCCTGGGGTTTTCACGCTTGCTGGGGTCAGGACATCTTTTGGGCTTCCTCCTGCTAGGTCTGTGCCACAGATGATTTCCTTCAGGGTTGTTTGTGACTTCTTGCTTTGGCTGAGAATTGCCCCATGTTCATAGTTACCTAGGTCCTGGCTGTGAGATGCAACATAGAGCCTGCAGGCAATAGTGAGGTCTAGGCTAGAGGCAGGGGTGTTTCCTGCAGGCAATGGTGAAGTCCATGCCAGAGGCAGGGGTGTTTCTGTGGTGTCTCTGAGGGTTCTTGTGGGGAAGAACAGGGCTGCTTCCTGATATCTAGGGTTGCCAGACTTAGCAAATAAAAATGTAGAACTCTCAATTAAATTGAATTTCACGTCCACTGTGAATAATTTTTTAGTATAAGCATGCTCCAAATATCACGAGATATACAAAAAACAATTGGTTGTTTATATGAAAGTCAAATGTAGCCTGGCATTCTGTTGGCAGATTCAGCTCTACCGATCTTTCTCCACCCACAAGTGGCACTTTTCTACCCAAGCAAAACCTGGTCAAGAAGAGGAGAGCTTGAGATGGTGGTTGGAGCAGTTTGGAGGCTGAGTTCAGGGCTCCCGAGTGCAGAGCGAGCACAGACGTTTATGGGGCTATTTGGGTCATTTTAGAGAGCGCCAAAGAGCAAGCCTGTTTAGTGAACTGGGACCTAGAGCAATTCGGATTTAGTTATTGCTTGGCCATTTTCTTGTACAAGAACATGGGAGTGGAGGGGTACATCAGGAAGACACATAGCTCTGAGGCCTTTATGGTTTAAGAGGCAATGTTGCTGTTAAGAAATGCTCAAGGTGGCTGATACTGTATTGCCACAAGAAACATCTTGTTTCAACCAGTTACAGTCTGGGCTGTAGCAAGGGACTGGGTGAATGGTGGAGTACACTGGTGAAGATGTGTGTGAATGAGTTGCTGCTCTGTCACTGGGTGGCACAGCTGGCTGAGGAGGCAGCAGGTATGGTTCATGGTTTCTCAGCTGTGGGAGAACAGCTGGGGAGGCTGAGACTCCTGTAGGGGCGGAGGCAAGCCTCAAGGATGAAGGAAGGAGAGTGGCAGCTGGGCTGCCTCCTGGAGCAGGGCCTGGGGTCTGGGGGCAGTTGGCCAGGGCTGCAGAGTGAGACACAGTCTCTGTTGCAAGTGGAACTCTCTCAGTGCGGCTGGCTTTCAGCTTATAGACAAGTCAAAGAAGATAAATAAAAGCGTCTGGCTTATCACACACCATATGGCTAGCAGACAGCGAGGCCGGCGTGAGGGGTTGGGTGTGCTTTGTTTAGGCTATCTTTAGGTATTTTTTTCTTTAAACCTATTCCCATCTTTTTTCTCCCTCACTCTCCTTTTCCCTAGAAGTTTTTATTCCATATATGGTGATAAGTAACTTTATTGTAGAAGAATGCTTGAGCCGACACCTGCCTCCGAGACTAATGGTGTTGTCCCATACTTTGTTCCCTTTACCATGCTGCTGGGGAACCCCTGGAAGGCATGGAATTTTATGATAAGCCACATCCTCCTGGGGGTACCAGGTATGTTTTGAAGCCCTCACTGTGGTCAGCAGAACTGAGGAAGTTCCAGCTGCTTCCTTGGCCTCCCTGCCTCAGAGTCTACACACCCCAAATTATCTCTCTTCTTTCCCCAAATCAGCCTTGTTTTGGGGACAGAACCCTTTCTACTAGTCAAGTGGGCTGGAGACCTCTAGTGGATCCCACAATCACAGGTGAAAACCCAGAGTCCTGTCTTTAACTGCATGGTTCTTCATGACCTGGCCATGTAGAATCATATACCACCTACATGATTTTTGCATTTTTTTCAGTCTTAAACATGTTCTTCCTGTGATATTTTATGCCATATTTTCTCTTTAAATCAGCTAGCTTTTAGTCAAAAATAGAATAATTTTAAAAAGAAACTGTATCCTTCTTCAAGCAGAAAGCCAATTATCATGCTCCAAAGAAAAAGTCAGTGTAAAAATAAATACGTCGAAGACACAACAGTGTCATAGGGTTCTGGCTGGATTTTGTTGTTTGCCAAAGTCTCTGAAGAAGTGCCCCCTCTCCCTGTGTGTTAGAAGGGAAAATTATCAAGTGGTAGGGAAAGCTTAAAAACATACTGGCACTACATTGGAAGTTTCTCCTTGATGTAGTTAGAGACAGACTGAAGGGAAATTGACCAGGGAATAACTTTTCAACTTTGAGCGTCCTGGTTTGGAGTCATGTGTGTGTCACGGAAGACTACTTCATGTGCCCCGTCTGGAAAGCCCTGGCTGTGCTCTACTTTGATTGGGTGTGTGTCAGTCACCCCATCTTGCCTGCTAAAGGTTTGCTGTTCTTCAAGATTCGGGCCACAGGTCTTGAATGTCTTCACTGCCAGCTACTGTCCTTGGCCCTGGAGATGCCACCATAATCCTCCTGTCTTCCTGGAGCTTGTTTCGTACTGCCCTACTCCTGCTTTGAGGATAATAGGTGTAGAATAAATGCTTGCCAACTGTAACCTTGTTGAAGTGACTCATTAGGTTAGCTGGAGTTTGGGGTCACGAGGAGCTTCTGTTACAGAGTGGGGCCCGCCCATGTCTCTGTGGGAAGTGGGAGCCTGAGATAATGAAGAAGAGCATTTAGGATGCATGGCCTGTGATGAATGTATCTGGTACCCCATCATTTTCTGGCTTATGCATTTTTACCTAGATGATAACTGTGCTTCTTCTTAAATCCTGCACAGCTCCTTGAGAAAACAAATCTTTTGTGCATCACATGCCTATGCATGATGGGAAAATAAGCAGGAGCTGGGAAGCCATGACCGCAGGTCTGAGTCTAATGCAGGGATGGTGGCGAAGCCCAGGCAGAACTGAGTACGGGGACAGTTACGTCATTCCCTACAGAGGGTCAGTGACACCCAGTAGAGGTCTTCAGGAAACCTGTTGAGCAGAACAATGTGTCAGACAGACACGGTCAAGAGATTCAATGCTAAGGATTAATTTTTATTTTTTATTTTTGAGTTGGAGTCTCACTGTCTCCCAGGCTGGAGTGCAGTGGCATGCCAGCCACCGCAGCCTCGATCTGCTGGGCTCAGGTGATCTTTCCACCTTAGCCTTCCAAGTAGTTGGAACCACAGGCATGTGCCACCACATCAGGCTAATTTTTTTATTATTGTAGAGATGAGGTCTTGCCAAGTTGCCCAGGCTGGCCTTGAACCCCTGGGCTCAGGTAATTTTTTTTTTAAAGGAAAGACAACCACTCTACTGCACACTAGACAAGGGAATATATAAGTTCATTGACTTTTCTGACAAACTGCAGATGTTCGTGAAATTGTTCTTTTATGCTTTTGAAGGGCTTTTCAAGGGAGTTTGAATCTTAAGTTACTGTAGCACCTTCCTTGCTTTTTCTTTTAAAATGTCCAACAGCAGAATGTATAAACAGATTTTGGCAAATCCTTACAGTGAAACACTACTCGGCAGTAACAAAAAGTGAACTACTTATGTATATAACATGGATGACTTTCAAAAGCATTCTACT